GGTGGAGCAGTCACGCAGTGGCGGGTTGTGAGGCAGCCATGGCTGAGTGGAAAGGGGCAGCAGCTGGAGCCACGGTCTTGCCACCAACTCGCCATGTGCCTTGGTCAAGCCCTTTGCCTTTCCTCGGTGGGAGGGGTGAGGGGAGGGTCTTTCTATCAGGGCCGGCCGCACACAGTCTGTAATGTGGAGGCAGTGAGGGTGGACCCAGGGCAGAAACCACCAGCCCTGTTCCCGGGAGACCTCTCACAAGGCTCGGGACACAGGGGAGGCTAATGAGTGGACACCCACAGGGCCAAGAGCCTCACATTTCTACCTGGCTTCTGCTCCTCAAAGTCTCTGCACCTACACAAATGAGCTGGGATGTGAGTCCAGCTGCTGTAATGCATTTTCATTCCACTTGCAAGAAGAGTGGGCTCCGGTTGCCACCTGCACATGTTTACCTGGTGCCCCAACTGGGAACATGGCCGAATCACCCATGGGCAGGGGTCCTGTTTATCAGTTCTTGATCCTTCTGCTCTGAGCATGTGTGCATTTCCAGTGAAGCACATGGATTGGGAGGTGCAGCCTCAATCCTGGGGATGTCTCCATGGTGGAATTAAGCCAGGACAGATCAGCCCTGGTCTCCCCAGGAGCACACCCCTGCATGGCCCTGACGTGTGTCCTCAGCTTTTGGACATCTCCAGGTGTTGCTGCTTCTCCCTGGCTGGCTGCACTCTGCCCTTTCACCCTGCTGAGCACGACCCTCTGGTGCTCAGGCGCACCTGCCAGGAAGAATCCCCCGACCTCTCCATTGCATCCTTGCTCTCTTGGGACACCTGGCACATTCATCAGGGCTGCCATCTTTGAGTGGAAGACGAGGCCTCTATTTGTTCACTTCCCCTAGTACCCATCATAGGCACTGGCTTAGAGAAGCTCTCTCAGGGATTGTTGGAAGGAAGGACAGAAGGAAGGTAGGAGGGAAGCCAGCCGGCCTTTGGTGAGTACAGAAGGGCAAGGGGGCTTCAGTCACTAGAGCTCTTCATCCCAAGGCAGTGGGTGGCCCTTGCCATGGAACATTCCCCACAGGTTCACACTTACCTGGATCCTGCTGGTTCCTGTCAGGCCAGGGCCCAGTGCCTGCCTCCTGGGCTGGGGTCCACAGGAGGGGTGGGGGTGTAGGCACTGGCTCCCTTCCATTGTAGGACTTGGCATCATGAACATCCCATGGAGAGCCCCATGGCCCCTGTCTGACAGGCCCCTGAGGGACGGCTGGGGGTTTGCTCTGCTGGGTTCTCAGCTCCTCGGGAGCCATTCTGTGTGTGTCATCCATAGGACAGAAATGTAGGTCCCCCCAGCTGCTCTCTGAGGAGCCCAAATTCCTCTGGTGGTGGGTGTGCCCACAAACACCACACCGAAGACCGCTGCGGCCTGCCCACGTGCCCCACAGAGCCGGAGGCACAGCCTGGGGCCTTGGCTACTGCAAACCCCCTCGTCTGCCCTCCCTTCCTCTGCTCCAGCAAGTGGACACCAATCCCTGCAGACGCGGTCCAGCCCCTCATCTCCAGTGTTGCTGTCACCCTAATTGGGTGTCCTACGCTGCCTGGACCTCCCCAGCCACCCCCTCCTTCCTCCCCTTTGTCCCCTGACTAGGAGGGTCACTCACTTGGTTGGGTTTCATTCAGTACTGGGCGATGTTGCTGTGTGCTGCACATGGCCCTCTCTCCAGGAAGGGCTCGTGTGGGACACGCCTAGGGCAGACTCGGGTATCATGCACCGCCCTCTCTCCTTGTCACCCACATGGCTGCCATCAGAGGGGTTATCAGGGCCATCAACAGAGGCCCTGCCTTGCCCTGGGGCTTGGTGGTGCTAATGTACCCTTCTCTTTGCCCCTTTTCTTTTGTTTCTTTCTTTTTTGTTTGGTTTCTGCAATGGATGTGATAACAATGCACCCTGTTGTCCCTTTTAATTTCAGACCAATTGAGAAACAGGACACAGGAGTCAGAATGATGAGGCTCCCTATCCACTCCCCTGCTGAAGGTGACTTTCCATTGAGCACAGCAGAGCCACCCTCACGGAGCCCCTGGCCACGAGAGCTCCTGTCCGACGCTGACTCTGGGGTTGGCGTAAGGAGAATGTTGAAGAGGCTACACCTCTAAGAAGCTGGTGTCATTTAAAGGTGGTAAGAGATACCACAGAAGTTGAAGCAATGGGAGGGGGGTGAAAAGAAAAGAATGTGGAGATGGGTGGCTGTTTCATTTGTCTTCCTGGCTGGAGGACTAAAGAGTGCAGGTCGCTGGGTCCGCAGGGAGACATGTGGGGGGCAGGATACGCAAGTGAGAGGTGTTGCAGGCACCTGAAGTTGAGGTCAGGAACTTAGGTGAGAGCTGCCCAGGGATCAATACGGAAGGGATCAATACGGTGCCATCGGCACAGAGGGGACAGTCTGCGACTGCACAGGGACACCCAGAGTGGGGCATTATGGGCACCAACACTGAAGAGGCAACGTGAAATTGTGGGCAGATTGCAAACAGACCTGCCACGTCCAGGCCAGGCCTGAGTTATGAACAGCCCCTGCTGTAGGGTGGTGAGAGGTTTCAGAAGCTGGGCCCAGCAGGGAGGATTCTTGACAGGCTTTGCTCCAGATGTCAGGCTGGCAGGAGGCCTGGGGGGTCCCTATTCGGGCTCCCTTGGGGGTGTAATGTACTATATACAGAGGTAGAGAGGAAATATGAAAACCCCCAGACTAGACATAAGGGAAACTGGGCTCTAAACAAGCTCAGCCTCTCCAGGACATTCATTCTTTCCAGGAACCTTCACTGAAACCTCGTCTTCCCAAGTAAGTGACCAGACACTAAGGGATACCATAGAATTTAGTATCTAAACTGGGACATTTTGGGAGAGAGAATGCTATTGATAATTATGCCTGGATAATAGGCGTGAACTAGGCTTCTTCTTGGGTACACGGGACAAAGCTCCAGACCCAGAGTTCCTTTGGAGCAGCTTCCTGCCCAGGTCCCCACTGTGGTCAGAAAGGCAGGGGTGAGACAGGGGAGGGAAGGGCAGAGTTGACAGAGGCAGAAGGGGCACAGCGAGGCGGGCCTGACCACGAATGAGATCCATGGAGGGGACCCATGGAGGGGCAGCAGACTCAGAACAGGACTGGCTTTCCCAGTTGATGGAGGTGGCAGTGGGAGGAAGTGAGCATTTCTGGCAGAGGAAATGCTTGAGGAATAAGGGGAGCACACATGAAATCTCGGGGTGCACCCAGTAAATTGCCGGTGGTTCCATACTGATACAGGAATCAGGTAGAGGAGTGGGGTCGAGGCTGGGGAAGTGAGTATGGGGGGGCATCTATGCAACTAAGAGGCTAAGGAGTTTAGACAACTCTGTAGACAATAGGGAGCCACAAAATGTTGTTTTGGGAATGAGAACAACGTGGTGAAGTTGCTCCATCTTCTTGCTTTTGGTTTGCTCATCTGGAAAATGGTGCCTCAATACCATTTGGGTTTACTGAGAAGATGAACCAAGAACAATTATGTAAATACTCTGCAAAAGATTAACGCATGACCCAGAAGGCTGTGATTCCTCAATACTCCACATCTCAAACCCCAAGCTTCCTCAAGGCTTGAGATGCAGAACGTAACATGATTTCAACAAAGAACAAATGTAGCATAAAGCTGACCCCTTCTCTTATGAACAAAATGAACTGGGGGGAGGGTGCCCTCTCCTCCTCGAGGTCCCATTCTTCTACCACTAGCCTCCTTCTCATTCCTCCAAAACACCAGGCAAAATTGTGCCCCAGGGCCTTTGCACCTGTTCTTCTCTCTGCCAGTTATGGATCCACTCAGGCTTTGCTCTCTTATTTCCTTAAGGTTTTTATTCATATGTCACCTTCTCACTGGGGCCTTTCTTCACCACCCTATTTGACTTTTCCTGTTTTCTCCTTAGCACTTATCAGTAACTAAATACATACAACATTTTGCTTAGGTATCTTGTTTATGGTATGTCTTCTCCACTGTAAACTCTTTGAGGGTGGGGATTGTTGTCTGTTTTGTTATCTGTTGTAACCCNCACACATGAAATCTCGGGGTGCACCCAGTAAATTGCCGGTGGTTCCATACTGATACAGGAAACAGGTAGAGGAGTGGGGTCAAGGCTGGGGAAGTGAGTATGGGGGGGCATCTATGCAACTAAGAGGCTAAGGAGTTTAGACAACTCTGTAGATAATAGGGAGCCACAAAATGTTGTTTTGGGAATGAGAACAACGTGGTGAAGTTGCTCCATCTTCTTGCTTTTGGTTTGCTCATCTGGAAAATGGTGCCTCAATACCATTTGGGTTTACTGAGAAGATGAACCAAGAACAATTATGTAAATACTCTGCAAAAGATTAACGCATGACCCAGAAGGCTGTGATTCCTCAATACTCCACATCTCAAAACCCAAGCTTCCTCAAGGCTTGAGATGCAGAACGTAACACAATTTCAACAAAGAATAAATGTAGCATAAAGCTGACCCCTTCTCTTATGAACAAAATGAACTAGGGGGAGGGTGCCCTCTCCTCCTCGAGGTCCCATTCTTCTACCACTAGTCTCCTTCTCATTCCTCCAACACACCAGGCAAAATTGTGCCCCAGGGCCTTTGCACCTGCTCTTCGTTCTGCCAGTTATGGATCCACTCAGGCTTTGCTCTCTTATTTCCTTAAGGTTTTTATTCAAATGTCACCTTCTCACTGGGGCCTTTCTTCCCACCCTTTTTGACTTTTCCTGTTTTCTCCTTAGCATTTATCAGTAACTAAATACACAGAACATTTTGCTTAGGTATCTTGTTTATGGTATATCCTCTCCACTGTAAACTCTTTGAGGGTGGGGATTGTTGTCTGTTTTGTTATCTGTTGTAACCCAGTGACCAGAGGAGTGTAGCAGGCAGCCATAAATGGTTGTTGACTGAATAAATGAATACCTCCTTCTCATTTTGGAGGTGGGGTATTCTAATAAATTGTGGTATGAAATTCACACAACTGCTATGATTTGATTTTCTTTTATTTGTGGCACTAAAAGACAAAGAATAGACTGCTGTGACTAAGAGCAATTGGCTGGTAGCTCTTGCTTCATGGAAAAAGTTTAGCAATGTTAATCAGACAATGAAGAACAAAGTTTCCCTTCTGCCCGATGCCTGGATCTGAAATAATTGTGAAACATTAAAATGATGTCAACATAGTTGTTTTTTCATTAAGATACAGGTTTTACTTCATGAACTCCTCTTGATTTTTATCACTTTCTTAAAGAGATTTCTTCAATATACAAAATGTTTTATAGATGTACATGAAAAACTACTGCAGTAGTTAAACTTTATTACAAGCACTGGTGACTTAGCACTGTGTGCTACGAGAAGACCGTGATATAATACAAGGGGGGCCTCTGAACTGTCCGGCAAAAGCATCAAGATCGAACTCAAATCGTGAAATTCTAAGCACAACTTTGATCCGATCTCTGCGGCACGTAGGCACCCAACATCCCTGCTCCTCGGCCCTCTGCAGGATTTCAGGAGGCTCCCAGGGAAGTCACCGGGCTCCGTGCACAGGTCCCCTGGGGAGACCTGCTCTACTTCACAGCCCATGGGGAAACAGCTGTCCAGGTGGAGCACTGGCCATCCACTCCCATGTCATTCTGACCTCAGCCACCCGCCACCTCTGGAGTACTCAGAAATGCCCTGTCCCCATGATCATGTACAATTGTTATTCTGGATGGTAATAGTTGATTTTTAAAAGGTTCGTTGTTCAGATCATGGTTCACAACCTCTATGAGGTGTTAGCCCCAAATATTTGAGAAATAAGAATCCATAATCTTATTACCCAACAGTCACCTTTGAAAAAGCCTCCCAATTTTTTTTTTCCTTACTACCAAAACACATAGGATCATGTAGCACATAACATCGAGATTATTTCAGTTGATTTGTATTTTTTTCTAGATTCAAAAAATTTTAAACAAATAAATGGTTTTAACCATCTATCTGCAGTAAAGGTCTCAAAGGTACAATACCAGTCTAAAGCATGATTCTTTTCACTTTGCCCATAAACATAATTAAGTGCAAGTGCTGGGCTCCAGCATTTATATTCCCATTAACCTGCCAACAAGAATAGTTTATTGGCAACTTCAAATATTCAGAGGCAAAACACATTTTCCTTGGCACACAAGCTGCGCAGAAAAGCAGTCTTTTCCCCTCCATTTGAACCGTTATATAAGAACACACTGAAAATCAACTGTACGCATTTTGGCCTGTAGAAACTAACACCAAATCTTGATGTTCCTCACCACGTGGAATCTTTCAGTGACGATTTTGGACGTCTCACAGGTGGGCTTCCTCAATGATCTGGTCTTTCTTGATGGTTCATACAAGCAGGGGCACCTGCAGGGCAGAAGGTCCACGGTTACTCAGCACACACTGACAGGCACATGTGTGGACGTCCAGGGGCTGGAGAGCTAGGGGCACCTTCATCCCTGCAATAGTATTCTGGCAACACCCTAAGATTGTCTGCACTGACACCCATCCCACTTACAGACCCACACAGTAATCTTTCTGAGGCACAAATATGCTTAAAATCTTTCAGTGACTTGTTGCTGCATTCAGGAAAAAAAGAAAGTAGGAAAGCAGGAAACCATTGGGGAGTCCACAGGTACACATGCAGGTGCCTACCATTCTCTCACAGCTGTCTGCTGTCCCATCCGTCCCTGTCGTCACCCCAGCCTGCAGTGTGTCCTATGGGCTTGTCTCTCACTGCTGGAGTGGAGGCTCCTTAAGGCAGGAATCATGATATACTCCCCAACTACATCCCCAGGGCACAGAACTTGCAGAGTGCTGAGTACTTGTGGCGTGAATGAATAAGCACGCTCACAGGTTCCCGTTCCAGTGATGAGAAATCTCAACCTTCTCCTGTTGTTTCAGCCCCACATCCTCCCACCACAGCCCAACTGCAGAACATGATTCATGGAATTTTGAAGAAAACATTCCAGTGCCACGAAAGGCAAAAATTAAACTGTGTTTTTAAGAAAAGGGGTGGATTCCTGTGAAACCATGTGAAATGAACATTGGGTTTCCCACTGGTGCTTCACGGAGCTCAACACATTCTAAACCGAACTGTAGGAAGCAGGCAAAAGAGCACACACGAGGGCCTAGGCAGAAGCCAAGGGCAGCCCCGTCCACCTGGAGGCAGGCAAGAGAGCATGCTGAAAACAGCACATGTGCACGGGTGGCCCAACACAGCCACCACCACAGCCACAGTTGCCACAAAAGCGGCTCGATGCCACAGTAGGAGTCATAGCCACTGTGCAGGCAGCCCACCAGACACCCAACTGCATCGATACAAGGAGAGTCACCATCAGAGACTGGATGAAGAAGAGGATGTCTCTCTCTTTAAAGCCCATTCCAGAGTAAT